AGGTTGCTTATATCTGGGGTTGTTTAGTCTGGAGAAGAGGAGGCTGAGGGGAGACCTTATTGCTCTCTACAACTCCCTGAAAGGAGGTTGTAGTGAGGTGGGGGTCGATCTCTTCTCCGAAGTAACAAGTGATAGGACAAGAGGAAATGGCCTCAAGCTCCGCCAGGGGAAGTTTAGGTTGGATATTAGGGAAAACTTCCTCACTGAAAGGGTAGTCAGGCACTGGAACCTAAAGGACATTATGGGGATTGAGTTGGCAGTGCTAGGTTAACAGTTGGACTCGATGATCTTAAGGGTCTTTTCCAACCTTAACGATTTTATGATTCTATGATCTTTGGCACAGTAGGTGGAGGGAGAAGTAGATGGACACAGTGCTCATTTGTGACCATCTAAACTAAAGTTTGAGTATATGTGCTTGCAAAGCCACGCCAGGTGCAAACCAAACCTGTATGTTCTTTCTGATTCTGTGTTTGAGAGCCTCTCCTTTTTATTTTTTGCCTGAGCCTACTTACCTGAGTCATGCTGTTATTCACTTTGGGAATCTTTCTGTACGTTGATACACAGGAAGGTCATGTGGATTATTCCAGTGGCACTTGGTAGTCAGAAGTGTTGCCACAGCGAACTACCTAAGTATTGGCAGAAGTCCTAAATAATGCAAAGTAAAACATAGCCCCAACAAATAGCACTGTAGATAAGTCTTCATAGCATGCATGTTAAAACTGCATTAACTCTGATGGTGACAGGAGCAGCAGGAAAGGCTGTGTTTTATAATCATGAAACTCTTTCGCCTGGCCAGAAATAGCAGTACACCTTGAAAATAGTTAGCTTTATTACATTTTATTTCTAAGCCTAAGGAAACTCACATTTGCTGGCACCACCAAAGTCAAGGACAGCGCAGAGACGCACTGTTCAAGAGGTAGCACAGAAGTTGGTTATAGTTTGGGAGGGGTGCTGGCACTAGTGAAGGTATACCATGGCCCCACCCCAGCAGTATTTGGTTGTCTCCACTTTTCTGTGGCATGTGCAGTAAGGGAAGTTTGCTGTTTCTGCCTGTCCCCATAGCATGTGCCAAAGATCATTCACAGACTAGGTGTGGAAGGTATTTATTATAGCTTGTCAGTTTCAAATGTAATTGGTTTTCTTACATGTCACCACTTTTTCAGAGAGATGCTGTTTTTCATACACAAAAGGGTTTTTTCTTGGGCCTAGGTGATGCAGAATGAACAGGTTTTTAGCTCAACATCAAAGAGAGGAGAAATTCAGCCCTGCAGTGTATAGCTTCTGTGTTTCTTCTCCAAGGCAGGCTACCATTTCTCATCTGGCTCCAGCTTCTATCTTCTTAAGATAAGAAATATGATCTAAAAATGAAATCAAGTGAAGATGTTGGGCAGCTCATTTGAAAGTGGAGAAGGCCTCTGGAGTTTTCTTAAAAGCTCAACCTGACTGTGAGTCAGCTATTGGCAATAGCTAATGGCTATTGACAACCCATGAGTTTCGCTCCCACCAGTGACGTTTTGTCTAAAATTTTCAAATTTCAAGTGTGAAACCAACAACAGATTTTATAAAAACCAGAATCAGTAATAGGTGACTGAGGGTAATTATCATACTCATTCTGCTTTGACAAATAATTCAGTGACCCCATTTTATCTGGATGAAACCACACTTTAAGGCACTTTAAGAAATTACCCTTCAATTTGAGCTCAGTGCATATTCAGAAAAGGGCAACTCTAGCTTCTTGTCAGCACAGGTGATGGCCTCATCTTGCATCCCGGAAAATGGTTTTGCATTACTAGAATATCAGTCATAGCCAGCTGCAGTGCTGGCCTGTAATTGTAATGTGGCTTAGTGCATTTAGAAAATGAAATGTAACTTCATGGTAAGTGGATAGTCTGGCAAATAAGCAAGCATGGAAACAGTATGTACCAGTTCGCTCATGTTGATGAAAAGGTCCCGGCAAAGCGGAAGTTTGAAAGGATGTGAACTCAACTGCCTCTGATAACAAAAATTTCCATCTGCTGAGTTCTCATTGTCTTAATTAGAGAAGAAATATACAGGAAATATGATTTTTGAACCTAAACAACTCCTTCCAAAGACCGTTGCATGAGCTGATTACTTGCTAATAAGTAAGAGGGATCACTGAGTGACACAGCACAAAGTTCTCAGAGTTGAATTTTTCTTAAACTGGTTCACACTGACAGGAATTGCTTCGGAAAGCACTTGATTTTCCAGGTCTTCCTCACCTGCGTCAGACAGTTGAATATACTTGGAGCCTGCTTCATACCACACAGAAGACTAGTTTTTACCAGTTAGCCTAACTGAGTAAATAGATTTACAAAACACTTGTCTACTTTTCACCTGCAGCACTTTGAGTTTTATACTGATTGAAAAAACAGTTCACCGTACCATATTGGGTCTTCGAGTAGCGCAGAAATTATTTGATGAACAGAATGAGTTTCTATTCATTATCCCACTTTAACATCTAGAAATGTGTAATGGTCACTTTTCCTTGCCATCACCGCATGTGTGGTGGAAGCAAACAATGACAAAAGAGCCTCCTCCTGTGCAGCAGAGAACAGCAGGGCTGAAAAAGACTTAGAGACATGTCTCTATTAAATTACAGAACCAAGAGAATTTGCCCATTTGCTGTAAGAGAAGGGATTTGACCCTCATAGTAAAGCTATACTAGTATAAAAGGACTTTATTTTCCCAAGAAAATGTGTATTTGTCAGCCTGCTTTTTGGAGCCATTAGCTTGACATTCAGAAAGTTTAGAGACGTAAGAATGATGTCTAGAAACAATTCAGTGCAGTTTTAAACGGGTTTGCACTCTAATGCAACAGCACACAACTCTCAAGCACCTGAAAAATGTGTTGTGACTTCACGTAAGTATCTTGTGTGCCATCTGAGGTACCCTTTCCCACAGTTTGTTAGGCTCTGCACTTCATTAGAGAAATCTTCACCAAAACTCTTAATCCTGGCAGCTTTCCTAGTAGAATCAATCTTTTGAGGATCTGGGTGATCAGTAATGACAAAACCAGCCTTGGTATTAGTATTTCACTTGATAAATTGCAGAGATCTAGGCTTCACTTAACATTTGTCAACAGTGACTTTCCAGTGAAGTGCAAGGTATTTGAAAAATTACCTCTAATGTTTCAGGCTAGGGGGGGAGTACTTTTTCGAACTATGAGAACATTTCCCTCATGCACCATTAAACCAACTGGGGAGAAAGGAAAGCAGGAAAGGGGTGGGAGTACACTTGAGTCTCTGAAGGTAGGGTTGAATAGCCACATGCCAGATTATTTAAGTTTTATTCCTGTGAGCCATGCCATGTAATGATAAAGTGTTTTTGTTAACGATAGAGTGAGCCACAAAAGAGTAGGAGTTTCTTTTCTTTAAAGCTGCCATTTCTTGGCTGCCGTGTCTGGGACTGTCCTAGTTCTCATCTTGTTCCTTAATTGTGTGTGTGCTATGCTGGATCCCGCCCATCTTCCCTCACGCCCTCAGTGATGTGTCTACAGGACCTGCTGCTGGTCCCTATCCCCCCTCTCTCTCTCTGCATCCCCCGTCTCTCCTGCAGACACAGATGCCATCTATGTGGTGGGTTACTCAGCTCTGTCTTGCCTCTGCACCGTTCTTTCTGTCCAAGCTAAAACTCAGTCTGGGGCTCCAGCATTTTGCGACTGGTGACTTGGAGTAAACACAGCTTTTCGTCATCCTCAAGGTTGTCTCTGCTGCCCCCTTCTTTGGGGGGGACATTCACCCCACCTGTCACTGCTGCCTGCAGACTAAATGCAGGTGTCATCTGAGGATGCCGTTCCAGGATAGGCACTTCCAGAGGGCAACTTTTTCCATCTGTTTCTAGCATCGTCTTTTGATTGTTAGAATTAGAAGATACGAATGCCACCCCAAAAACACTGGTTAACATGAATGGAGAATGAAGAACATGAATGGAGAATGAAGTGAAATGTGACATATGTGATCTCTGCTGGCTCTTCAGTGGGGAGATCAGGCAAAATGTTGCTGCTAAATGGTGATTCTGGTTTTCTTTGAATACTGGATGTAAACTGGAAGACATAATGTGGAATTTAAATGACAGGGTTAGATGGCAAGAGTTCAAATGTTACCTGCGCTGATCTTGCTGTTAGATCAAAGGCCCGTGTAGCTCACAGAATTGGGACACTGTGCTAAGCAGGATTTTTTTTACCCATTTACAAGGTTTTATCTCCGTGGCACTTTTCATTAAAAATATAAAGCACAGAGTGAAAACAAAACAGAAAATGTCACTGAATTACTGATAAAAATAAACCTCTTTCTGGAAGGTGACCAGACTCAGGTATGGATGGGGGAGCCAGTGGGATGTTCCCCTGGGCTGGATGAGCCCCTCTGCAGTGACCTCAGATTTTGCAGTGGGGTGGGACATGTCTTTCCCACTACTCTTCTCAATGTCTGCTCCACCCCGTCTGTGACTGTTCAAATTGTCCCCTGGATTTTGGCTCTCAACCGTGTTGTCTTTCAGAAATTACCAGCTTCCCACATCAGGATGAGCTCATTTCCTCTGTCTTTTGTCTTGTTATAATGCCACCACAAAGGGAGGGCAGGCACTCCCTGAATGTGTGGCAATTATTCTAAGTTGGGCATAAGGTAAAAAAGTTAATGTGTGTATTTCATAGCTTATTTCTGAGAATGACAGAAGGAGTTCAACAAATTTGGAGGTCTTTCCCAGTGACAGAATATGGTGGACCCTGACGTATTTAGTCTAGGCGATCTACCCGTACAAAAATTTGCTTCACATTCCAACTCGTAATGGAAAAAACCCACTGTTCTTCACCTGCACCCAGACATATAAAATTCCTGAGGTAAGGTCAACACGGCACACAAAGAGAGCTGTTGATTATGGGGATGGAGGGCAAACTGGTCCAAAAAAAAAAAAAAAAAAGGAATCGTCTGAGGGAAGGGAACCATGTGCTGAGTTACAGGAAAATCTTTTGTTTCTAACTCTAGGTCCTTCTTCAGTTATCAGCAATGACGATGATTCAGCCAGTCCCCTCCACCACATCTCAAATGGCAGTAACACTCCATCTTCTTCTGAGGGGGGTCCTGATGCAGTCATCATTGGGATGACAAAGATTCCCGTCATCGAAAATCCCCAGTATTTTGGAATTACCAACAGTCAGCTCAAGCCAGACACCTGTAAGTACAAACAACTGTGTGTTTCAGTCATTCATTTTACCTGTGCAAGTGCTGGGGCTCCTAACAGAGCTAGCAGAACAAAATGCTCTAAATTCCTGGGAATGGAAGGGTGGGATTAAAATGTATGCAATTTGTTAAAGGTACATGGGATGAACCGCTTTACGTCTGTCAAAGCCAAATTCAGCCCTTGTGATGAGTCAAGGAAGTCAACAGTGTGACGCTCAAAGCCCAATCCATATTCCATCAAAGTCACCGGTAGCCTTTCCATTGATTTCAGTGGTCTTTGGCCGGTCCTGTGCACTGAATGTGTTCTTGGGAGAAAACAAATCCTGGGTCAGAAGCAGAAGTCAGTATTGTTACATACGCGCTGCTTTTAAATTGATCGTATTGGCAATGAACATAACCTAACTTTGAAATCTGAGTATTTGTAAAGTTATAAGAATGATAAGGGTTAAACTTCAATTCTTTTAATTTCATTGTATAATTCAACCTTTACAGCTGGAAAAGGTGTTGAATATTTAAAAGTAGAGCAGAAGGTTGCATGATGGACAATAAATGTCACATACAAATTCTTCCATGTTCAGTTACAAGCAGGTGAAATGTGAAAAAATATGAAGAGTTAAACATAATTAACTATGAATAGTTAAAAAAGAGTATCCCTAACCTCAGCTGCTACTCTTCCAGCCTAGTAACAGTTTTAGAATTGGACATGTGAAATGTTGAGTTTTGAAAACCAGTAATTAGCATTGCAGCAGATAACCGAAAAATACCTAAAGGATATTGTGATTAATAGTAACTGCAGTGCTTACCATTTTTAACCAGCATCTTAAGGTCTTTAGGTGTTTCAGAGAAAGTTGTTCCTGCCTCTTTTTTCCTCTTCTTTTGTGTGTGAATGTACATACATTTCTGAAGTGTTACTGGAAGTCTAAACTGTTTCTCAGGGAAGTCTAGTATTCCAGTATAGCTGGTGAGCATTGGGCTTGCAACTAAGGGACACTGCATCCTATCTGTATCCTGCCCCGAATGATATCACTTCATAGCACAAACAGTAGTCTAGGGGCTTACTGCCAAGGCCAGAAACCTTTGCCTCCAACTTCGCAAAGCTTAAATGCCGTAATAGGAATCTTTCTTGACCTGTGCACGAGGGCATGCGTGCAGACGTGTATGCATGACTTCTAAGGTTGCAAAGACTGATGCTGGACTACCTACGTATCTTGTGACTATTAATGCTCGTCTACATCTAGATTGCTGCACTAAGCACAATCCACAGAAGGATATTCCTGCATCACAACAGAAGGTCTTTTTCTGCCTTTTTATTGTACATCCCTGATATTCGCTCTTACCATAGCTTTTTTGTGTGGCACTGTTTTGTGGTTAGAAATGTCCCATTTGAATAAACTGGCCTAGCATATGCAGTGGGATGCGTAACACTGAATTGCTGATACTTGATCAGCACAAGGAAAATGTTATACAGATGCATTCTGATTAGAACATTAATTTCTGTGAAGAATAGAAGCCGCTAGGGAATCAGAAATGGGCAACATGCCCACTAGAGCTCTCTAATGTTATATAAAAGGCCATGCTTTTAAATATGAGGCTACTGTACCTCCGTTCCCAGCTGCATTAGACGACATTATAATTGTTTGAATAAACATCAGTGACTACAGAGTATTTAACTTACAGCGTTAATGTTGAAACAACATACATGCTGTTCTGGGGAAAAACCCAAACTGTACCAAAACACAGAATTCTCTCACATTTAGTAAGCTGCACATTAAGTACAGACGCATTAAATCACGGCTGACTAGTGCTAAGTAGGTCCTGATCCTAAAAATACGTAAGTCTCTGTTTGGTTTTTTGTGCTGCAATGAAACCCACATGGTGTCAGGGAAATTAATCACAGTACATGAAGTTCAGTTTATGCATAAATGCTTGCAGGATGCAGCTCAAGACTTTGCTGTGGTGCTCTGGGGAGGTTTGTGGGGCTGATGCTCTGCATTTTGCCACATCACCATGGTGGTCTCAGTCTTTGTGGTTTTATTGCTTTAGCAAAGAGAATCAGGTAAACTGTGGCAGTGTATAAACCAAGGCAGATTTCTCCTACTACACTGAGCATCCGTCCAATAAAGAGCATAATTAAAATAGTCTCAGACAAAAATGGTCTTCCCAGAAATAATTTCATGTATGCTCTCTTTCCGTCTCTCTCACTTGTTATTACAGAGCTGCACATGTCCTTTCTTAACCTGCCAACCTCCTCCTGACGTGTATATCTGGTATTATAAACCTCTAAGCTAAGTAGTTCTCATACCTTTTTCCTGTTTACAATAATGCCAGCTCCAGATGTCATCTGGTTTCTCATCTCCAGCAAGATAATTAACATTTATGTTTACTTCCTATCTGATCTAAGTTCCATTGTCTGCTAGCATTAAACACAGCAGTCACTGACAGTCATGCTGGAAAAGATTCTTACATATTTAGTGTATGTTGGTCTGCAGAGGGAAGTGAGACTTCGAGCTAGGTGAAACTGTACGCAGATCGTATTGCAGTTTTCACAGAAGTTGAAGGAGTACATCTGCTAAGTAGCAAGTGGAGTTTCTTTTTTGTTATCTACTTAAGCCATATTGTGACTTCTCTACAGATAACCATTTCTGAATACAGTGTATCAAGCTCCATTGCAAAGTATTAGAAGTGTATGTGTTTAAAAGAAAATTAAAAAGTTGATTGCTATCAATTTAGTTTGAAATTCCATCACTGTATCAGTAAACTGGTGCTTTGGCTACTGAATAATTAAATCCCAAAGAGTGATGGCTTCTAAAGAGTCAGTCTCAGGCTAAAAGTTATAGCCCTTTCCTCCTCTTGAGAGACAGCTTTCAAGGTGGGAAAAGCAAACTGATGAAGACGAAAGATCCGTCGACTTGAAGGGTCAGGTTTCGGTCATCACTCAGAAGGACTGAATTTCTGTCCCAGGTTTCACAAATGCTGATGAGCACAAATGCTCATCTGTACCTTTAATTGTCATAACAGTAGAAAATTACTCTTCATCTTCCAACTGGGATTGGACGATATTTGCCACTCCAGCTGCTCATCATCTTAACTACCCATTTTCCTCGCCAGCAAACTCACTGATGCTTCTTCAGCACTCGACTGTCTGACACCCTATCCCAGCACTCCTGGCTTTTCCTTTCCCTGTTGTGTACCCTTGCTGGCCGGTGGGCTCATCTGCCACTCCAATATCTTGAATATTTCCGCCTTGAAAGTTTACAGTCTGTGGTGCACAGACATGTTTCAGACACATACCAGACTTCTTGGTTATTTTTTGTGTGAAATCAAAAGGTATTTCCTCTTTGGCAGTACTTGGCTAACAGTGACAACTCTGATTTCAGGTGTGTGAGAGAGAGTCCGCAGCCTGGACATGGTGAAATGCTCTTTGCCCTTAAGTCATGATAAACCAGGTTGTGCTGTATTAGCATCAGCCTGCAAACCTCTTGCCTGGCAATTACCAGCAGTGTTCAGTTGTTGCTGTTGAAAATTGGGCCATAACTCTGTAGTGAAGTAACATCACCAGGTGTAGAAACCTTGCATGGATGGCAAACTTTGCAAAGATTTTTGTCCCCTGAAATCAACTGGGCAATGTAGTATCTTGTAGGCATAGATGCTAACTATTGCTAGATGGTTAGCTTCACTAATCTTATAAGCTGTCACAGCCCCTAAGCTATTTGGTATTTTCATTAATACCATGATATTTCAAAAATTAGTCTTCTACATCTCTGCACAGAAATTGTTGTTGCTGAAGTTGCCAACCGAGCCTACCAGACCTGTTGAAACAGGATGGAAGAAACAAAGCCGTTTTCCCCATGAACAGCTATGGACTTTCTTCATTCATCACTTAGTTTGCAGCCCAGCGCTTGGAATCTATCAGCCCATTACTATTATATTTCTGTGATTAATGGTGGAAATGCAGTCAGTAAATAACATTGCTGTGTTGGTAGTAATGTGAAAAGCAAAACCTGAGGAGAGGACATGCATAAAACATCAGTGGAAGTGCCCAGGTTGAGGCTCTCAGGGCAAAACTTTGGTAAGAAACTGCATGCAGGTGGTTTTGAGATTTTGGGAATCAAATTGTACTCTGAATCTCACCCCATTAACCCCCACCCCCACCCCACAGAGTCACTGTGGCTGTTTGGGGCCAACTGGAAGGAACGCTAGAGTTTTGCCGTTTCATGGAGAGGTTTGCAAGCTCCAGGTCTCAGGCCCCCTAGGGTGGATAAATAGCAGCTGCACTGACATTAGTTTGCACTTCCCAGCTAATCTGTACTTGCAACTCACTTGATTTCAACCCTAAAGATATTATCAGTGACGGAAAGTAGCATATTGGGCAGGCTTGTTGATTAGTCAGTGGGTGGTCTAGTGGCAAGATGTTTTCAGTGGCTGGCCATGCATATAGCCATTGCGTTTCAGACGATGTGGTGTGGATTGCGGCTTTCAAATGGGAAATAATTTTTGTAAATTAATTTTGATTCATTTTGCTGATCTGAAAAAATGAATTTACAGTCTGTAGCTCCAGTTCCACAGTAAAATTGCTAATTGCATGTGCGATGCTAATTTTAAAGGCAGAAGTTTTGAGAGCATCCCTCTTCTGTGCCATTTTGAACACTGAGCTTTTCAATTTATGCTTAGGGATTTTTATTTATATTTTAGGGATTGTTACACCATTTAGTTAAACATGATCTCAGTCTTTTTCTGACTTGCCTTGTTCTTTAACTATAGATTTCTTTTTAACATGTACATAGCCAGACTTTGGTTGCCCCTGTTAGGCAGGAAAGTTGCAGAAATACTCTGCTTCACTCCACCACCGTCTTGAATGACTTTTAAAGGAGAAGAGAAACAGGAGTGTTATTCTTATCACTTTATCATGACTCCCACAGTACTGGACTTTTCTCTTTAAAGCCATAGGTCTTGGAGTTTGGTGATGATGTGGGATTTCATTTGAGAATGAAAAA